TATCTATCTATCTATCTATCTATCTATCTATCTATCTATCTATCTATCTATCTATATGTCTACCCCCCCTTTCCCCTTTAACTTTCTCTCTCCCTCTTTTCCCACAACCTCTCTTCTCCTCCTTTCTACAACCTCTCTGATAAAAAGCATCGGCAAATGTGAATTAATGGTTATGTGCTTACCAACCTGGGCAATATTGGTCACCAGCGGGCGATTTGGCAATTTTGGTGGGCGGCTTAGCTCATCTGAGTAGTGGCATGTATTATTCAATGCTCTGCTTGAAAGCATGTGTGGGCAGCTGGCGGGTGCTCTGGTGTGATTTGCTCATTCTTTCCTATTGAACATCTATCATCCTTATCTACCCTTCTTCTTTTTAATGTGTGTTACTCTCTTGTAACACCTCTAATCTTCTGACGTTCATATGACCTTATGCAGTTGCGAGCGCCGTAGAACCTCTACTAAGACTACGAAGACTAATAGCATATAATTTAACCCTAATTTTGGAACAAATATTTTAGCCTCTTAAAGGTGGCAAAAAATGGGAGCTGGCTTTAAAAAGTTGACAAGGTATGGTATGCAGAAGACTTTGATTACTGTGGTAAGGAACTTTATAATAATTTTGTCAAGTAAATCGAACACTCCAAGATGACCATCATTTTTGAGGAAAAAGGTGTTCATCTTAGACAGATGATTCTCTTGAAGAGTGTTATATAAAAAAAAAAGGCAACCCACCCTCCAAAGGGATGGGGAAGTGGGAATTGGTCATTTGTACAGGTGATTGTCTTAGACAAGTGACCGCTAGAGCCGGTTTTGACTCTATCTCCATGTTCAAATGGGACTCAGTATTCTACTCTACTCGGGTTTGCCCTTCAAGTCAAATTTAAAGCACCGTCTTTTAAGTAATCTAAATTGTTTCATATATTTATCGACAAAAGTTTAAAACATAACCATCATTACATTCATGGTAACTTTTACAATTATTACGGTAATCCAGGGCAGGATCGGATTAAGGGGAGGTCCTTGGCCACGAACTAAGAGGGGGGAGGGGGGGGGGGGGT